TGTGAGAGTGTGGAAATCACTGCTGTTTCATTCAAAATCTGTTGGTACAACTGGCTCCCTGGCAGAAACAGACTCAAAACAAAACGAAAAGACAAACACAAAACAAAATGTGATGCCCGAGGTAACACCCCCCCCCGGAATCATCCTTCATATGAGAAATTATTAAATCTTAGTAGGGGGACTAGAATACGAGCCTTGATCTAAGATGCTTTTTTTCTTCTCTGTACCTTTTGGTTCAACTGTTGAGATCTAGAAGCCTTGGATGTAAGTTAAAGACCATCTGGAGAGAAATCCAGTCATGATATTACAGAGAATGTAAGTTATCAGTCACGTAAGTTAGAGACCGTTTCTCTAGATGTAAGTTAAAGCCTTGGATGTAACTGTTGAGATCTAGAAGCCTTGGTATAAGAATTTCTCTGGAGAGAAATTTTGAAATCCAGAGAAATTTGGTTAAAACACAGACAGAGAATCCAGAGAAACACAGATAATCCAGATCATTTGCACCTTCTATCATTTTCATTAATGAGATAGATGCTATTGGTAACAAATGCGGTGGACCTGATATTGGTGGGGTATGATAATAAGCTTCATCTTTCATGCCATTTGCAGACTATATATGTACACAGACATATCTTCTTGAACATGCTCCACAGTAGTTATCACTTGTGAGGATGTAACCTGTTCATCTTTGATTGTAGTTGTTGGAGTCTCCAACCAAACTACATCACTAGTATTTCAATCAATATGCACTTGATAGTTCCAACTGACTGCCTAAAATATTATTTTGAAATTTCTCTGTGATGTGTCCAGAAAATTTTACAGTGGGAAATTTCTCTGTGATGCGAATTTTCTCTGGACCAATTTTCTCTGAATCAATTTGAGGGACCTTAGACATTATAAAAATATTGAGTGTCCTTTATGCTATAAAATCTTAATACCAGGGACCTTAAAAAAAATTCCTCAAAAATAATTTGATTATTTTTGTAAAGTGAGAATTGTGTAAATAGTAATGCTAGGCCATTTTCAAACCCATGTCATTTTATTTTTAACTAGAACATATTTTTTCATCATCGTCGTGCTAGAATGCGGACCGCAATAATCTTTCCGTATTTTGGAATTGGAAGCCTTTTTTCAATTCCAATTTTTACAACCATTACTGCTTTTTTTCTTGTGCACTGAATCCAAGTCCAAGAAAGACCAACGCGAATTAAATAAAAATAAGAATAAGAATGGGTTCTTCATTGACGAAGAAGGAGCTAGGCAGGATTGTAGATGGCTTATCCCTAATCAGCAAGGAGGTTGTGAAACGTTCTCGATCTCAAAATGGAGATTTGCAATCCCTAATTACTTCCTCCTTGAAGAAAGCAATCCTCGTCGTCACTGATCTCTCCGGACTCACCACCGGCGAGGTCCGCGAGTTCTCCACTCCTCCTCCTCCTCCCTCACCTCCTACTAGTAGTAGTAACAATTCTAAAGCAACAACCAGTGTTGTATACTTCGAGGCGGCGGTTGAGGAGAACCAACCTCAAACACCATCACCTCTTCAACCATCGCCATCGCCATCGCCATCAAATGTTGGTGGTAAGGAAGTTCCCTTTCCCGAGATACCACCTCCATTGCCATCGAATGTTGGTTGTGATGTCAAAGACGGTTTGCTCGCTTCCGAGGCCAATGTTGACCTTGACAAAGAAGAGCCTGCTCCTTCTCCTCCTCCTCCTAAGATACAAAAGAGGAGGCCGAGGGAGAGGAGAGTTCCTTCTACGCCCTTTTCTAGAGCTCTTGGGTAAGTTTTTCCCCATTCACAACCCCCAAACAATCCAAACCATATGGTAGTATTTGTTTCACTGGAATGAAACGGAATGGGATATTCATTCTATCAAAATGTTCATTTTTATGTTTGGTTGGCTAATAAAATAGCGACAAAATGCATTACGATTCCATATGAAAGCCTAAGGAATGATCATTCCATTCCATTCCATTTCAATTCATTCCAGTGAACCAAATGAAGCCTATATGACCACTGCTTATGGTATTTATTTTAGTTGATGCATATACTCGAAATTGAAAAGGATATACAAGTATAACCTCCAGCACAAATAGCAGTTACCAAAGCTTGTGTCAATTTCTCAAATTTAGCACATGCTATGGCAAGTCATTGGAGCATATACTGCTCTGTTGCAGCTGCCAAATTATGGCAATAGCAGCTCCAATGGCTTGCCATTGGAGATGCTCTTAGGTGCTAACAATTTCTTAAGCCATTGGACTAGGGGAAAAACTCTTGAATTAACCGTGGTGCACTTTCAGAAAAACTCCTTGCCGAGGCCTATGCACCCTGGGGATTAGTTGGGCTTTGATCCGGACATCCAGTGCCAATCAAAAAAAAAAAAAAAAAAGAGAAAGAAAAAGATATACAAGTATGTCCATTTAGTTGATATGTGAAAAGATTCTCACTTTTTTTCTTTATTTTATTTTATTTTTTCTATGTTGCAAGTATACATAAATATACATGAGACTTGGACTTGTACTTTCTGTTGAGCCTTGCACTTAGATTCCAGGAGACTTGGTTCCCCCTTTATTTAATTTTGGTCTATTACACTAAATGGTAATTCCCCCTTTATTTAACCATTTCAAAAAAATGTAGAATTTCTAAAATGCCCCAAAATTTCTTAACTTAGTAGAACACGAATGCATATCCATGAAATTCCCAACTTGATTACATGAGGTACCAAGTAAGCCCTATATGAATTTCCAAACTTGCTTTTATTTTTCTTTGAATGTCTTGCACCAACTTAAATACAACCAATTCATTCCAGGGGAGGAGGTGACTAACAAGGGTAAACCCGGGATCGCTATAGTACTACTGTAGAGTTGGATCCCTTCCATCCTCTTACTTGGGCATGCCTTTGAGTTTCTTATTCAAAATGTAGTCCTTGTGGGATCCCGTAATTGAGATATTTCAGAGAAGACTGGAAGGGTGAAAGAGGCAATACCTATCTAATGAAGAGTACTTTATCTAGGTTGCCTACATATTTTATGGTTTTGTTTGTCATTACTTTGTTGCCGAGAGATTGGAAGCTGCATATAGATTTTTGTAGGGAGGAATAGGGGAGGATTCAAGTAACCATTTGGTTGACAGGGACTCAGTTTGCAATCCTATGAGGGATGAGGAGTGGTATCAAGAAGTTAGAAAATTTCAAACAAGTTTTGTTGGGGGAGTGGCGTTGGAGGTTTGTGCGTATGAGGGATAGATGGTGGAGACATATGGGCAAGGTTTTAAAAAGCGGCCGCAACCGTTACGTAACGCCGTTACGTAGCGGTTTTGGCGGTTACCGCCACCCGTTACGGCCGCTTTTGCAGTGTGATTGAGATTCACAAGTGTGTCGGTCATAGCGGCTGCGGTAGTGGTCGTAATGGTGCTGTAACAGCCATAACGGCCTGCTACGCACCGTTACGTAACGGTTCCAAACTATTTCTTTCCAAAAAACACACAAAAAAAAGCTGAAAATGGGGGAAGAGGGATAGAGAGAAGAGGGAAGATAAAGAGAGAAAATGGAGAAGCAAGAGATAGAGAGAGAGAAGAGGGAAGATGAAGAACATGTTATTGATTTGTTGAAGCTGTATGACCCATGCTATTTTATTCAGCTGCTATCACTAAACCATTTTGTTTGTGTGTGTCTGTCTATATATTGTTTGAAAATAATAATAATAATAAGCGTGGTCATTATCTATTTGATTTGGTTAAAATATGTATATATATATATATATATATTTAAGCTCTTATTTATTCTCTTACTTTTGTCATTGTTTATCTTATATATAAGAGTTAGTGATTGATTTTTTGTATAATATAATGTCATTAATTATTAAAATAAAATGTAAAAAACTCAATTTATAGTGATTTAAAAATATGAAATATATTGGATCATATTTAAAAATTTATAAAAATTGATCAATATTTATTTTTAATCCAATAAATATGATCATGGAAAAAAAATATGCGTATCGGTGAGTTTTTTTTCAAATTGTGCGAAAAATAAAAAAATTCACGGTTTCGGTTACCGCAACCGTTACACTACAGCCTTTACACCCCACAACCGCAACCGCGTCACCGCCACCGTTACGACGACCGCAACCGCTTTTCAGAACCTTGCATATGGGTGTGATTAAGGAAGTTGGTCCTCTTTTGAGGTATCTCTGTCTTATGGAGTAGGCCTGCGGAAAGGAGTTGTCTATGTATCTCAAGTTCCCCCCTGCCCCCGGTAAGTGTCATGTAAATTTTTTGCCTTAGTTTGATTGGTGTGCATTGTTCACACGAAACAAATTAAAGAAATACATCTCCTTCATTATTTACGAAAGTTACTTTTATGGCTAATGACTACTTTGGTTCCTCCTCTATGGATGATAGAACTAAGATTTTGTCTATTGTTATTATTGGCAATTTCCTTTCCATTAAAAACAATAAAGACAGAAAGAACTAGAACACTTTCCTTTTCAAATCCCAAATGTTACTTATTACACCCCAAAAATCAAGTCATTTGGAATATTAAAAAATGGAGCACATCATTGATGTATGTGTTTGTGTAACTATATTTATTTTTGTCCTGAACTATTCTCAAACTAGTTACCACTGCATTATTCAGGTCTTTGTAGTGCCAATATTGTTATTTGGCAGTCCTTTTCTTTTCTAAAACATAACATATATTGGACATGGCTTTCAAATCTGTTAGTTATGAGGGAAATCATCAATTGTATAACATGTTTTTTTGTTCTTATGACTGAGATTTTTACTTAATTCCTAACTTATTTTGAAGGTTTTCCTAGGAGCTGGTCTTGCATGGGGGACAATCCAGGAATCTGCCAAGAGGATTGTCTTTGGTATGCCCGATTCACAAGAAAAACAATCCACTGTTTCCCCATTCTTATCGGAAAAAATGTGGAACGTTTGGCTCTTGCATGGTGTAGAATGCGCGGAGCGGCACTTAAATTAGGGCAGATGTTGAGTATTCAAGATGAATCCATTATACCTCCTCCGGTATTGTTTTTTTAACCTTTTACATTATTCACTTTTTAGTAAGTTATTTTATTACCAAAACAAAAGGATAGTACCACAAAAGCTCAAGACACAACCCTAAAGCGTACACAACACATGCTCAAGGCTTCAATAAGAGTGATGTGCTAAAAAGAAAAAGGAAGTATATTATTCTTTAGGAAGGATAGGGAACTTAAAAGGCTTCAATATTCACTTAATTATGATGGACAAAAGTAGAGTGAGGCTTAAGTGAGATTGTGTATTTAGAAAATGAGGATTAGTGTTTGAGGCTATCACCTAATAAGTCTGTTAGTGCGTTTTTTTATTTTATTGGAAGAATTCAGGATGCAATTTAAGGAGAAGCATCCAAATATTAAGTTGGTTGAGGTTATTGGTAAAGTTGGAAGAAAACAATGAAAATTGATGTCAAGCAATGAGAAAGCATCCTTTGTCAAGAAGGCACTTTATTAAAGCTGTTAACACTTGGGCTTTGATTTTGTTTTAGTTGTTAAAAGGGTGTCAGGTTTATCTTTTGTACTTTTTCTTCTTCTTTCTGTTTGTTTATTTGAATTGTATAAGGGTTTTTTCCCCTCGGCACGCTCTCTAATAGACTAATACAATTGTACTCTATTGTTGATCAAAGAAAAAGGTGTAATCACAGTGATTTTGTTCATCAATCCGTTTTAGTAAATGCTGACGGGTTAAAATTCACAATAAAAATTTTATGTTTGCAAATAAAAAAAAATGTTATAATGTGATAAAACAGACAAATAGTACCGACCCTGATTTAGAAAGGATAAGTGGACCCTATCTGGATGATTATTCACCATTTGTTCTTCTTCAAGTTGACTTTTCCTCTGTTATGATTAAGTTTTATATTGTTGGCATGAATGAGGCTTGTTATATTTTGGTTCCAAAGCATGTGACAGCTCTTATCCCTTCGTAGATCTTGGCTGCGTTGGATATTGTTCGTCAAGGTGCTGATGTGATGCCAATGAGCCAGCTGAATCAAGTTTTGGATGCTGAATTAGGTCCTGACTGGTCATCTAAGTTGATTAGTTTTGATTATGAACCAATGGCTGCTACAAGTATAGGCCAGGTGATGCAGGCAACTGTATTATTAAATGTTATTTATTCATTATGTGCTAGTTCCTTGTTTTATCCCTTTTAGCATGCAATCAAACAACTTAAGTACTTAATGGTGATAGAGTATGACTTGAGAGTATGGAACTGTGTTTATTTTGCAACTATTCTTGACCAATAGACATTTTTTTTATTAGTAGCAGCAAAAATAAAATTATTAAAAGGAGAATCAAGGTGGACAAGTTGTCCGACAAACAGAAGAGATAAAAAGAAGATACAAAAAAGAAGGTACAAGAAACATAACTAGCTTTATATGGCTCTCCCATTACTAGAAGTGAAAAAACAAAGGAATTCCCTTAAAAGGGGAGATGCAGAAGCCCAAAAAGAAGCCAATTTGCAAATTTTATTCCAAATACCCCCTAAGCTATAATTTCTTTCTAACCAAACAACCCACCTAGCTGCCAATACAAGTCAATTTAATATTTTTCTCTTTTTTATTTTTATTTTTTTGTTGTTTTGATTTGATTATTCACTAGGTGAGTGTTTTAGACAGTGAAAGTAAATGGATACAAATCTAACACATAATTTGCATAATTTTTTTTATGAAGATAATTAATTGCTAATCAATTAACTTCTTTATCTAATTATTTACTCCCTCAATGAATTTCATGAGTTACGTTATGAAATGAAATTTGCATATCACCAAGTATGATTTTATTTCCCCTAAAACAAAAGTTGTAATCATTACATCATTATTGAGCCATTATTATTCGTCAATACACTTGTTGCGATTTGTGCTTCTTGGCTCACTTATTTGAGTAAAAATCCATGCAATTCTCTACTTTCTCCTCGCCTGATGAAAGAAAACAAAAACAACAAGAACAAAGGGGGGGATATATTAAAAAGTGTAATACTATCCGTCATAAAATAAATGTCATGAACAGTTTCATAAAATTAATTTAAGGGTGATTGCATAATATATGATAAAACGCTACAAACTAATTCAAGTATAAAAAATCTTCATGAAGGATTTTCATGATATTTTTTTCGTAATGCCAAACAATATTGTATTAAAAAATCAATTGCCAATAATATACAATCGACATCGGCATAAATATGATAGTTAATTAGAATCTGTTAGATTTGTAGTTATGTACAAATAATAGAATTTACCATCTTGTATAATAGATTATTACTAAATAATTTGGTGATATTCCCCATGTCAATAATGAGGTGTGTTAGAACTACTGTATAGATTTTTTTTTTCTTTTAATTAAAAGAGAGGAGAGATAAAAACTTACCAGGGTTTTCTTTAGTACTAAAATGGGTGCATAAAGAGGAAGCACAACCCAAAGTGCACAAGTCATGTGTATTTGGAGGAGGAGGAGCAGGATTGTTTGGTGGAAAGATGCAATCTTTGAAGCATTTGGCATCACAAATCAACGAAGAAGTATTGGAAGAGATGCAAGAAATATAGCATGCACCAAAACAAACATGGAAAGAAGGTCTGTATAGCGACCCCGGTCTTTTCCCATTTGATTATTGTATCCGGACTTAGGTTCCGTAGACTCTGTCATTGATAAATTGTTGTTGTTGTCCTTTATTTTCTCATTTGGAGTTATAGGATGTGTTGGGCAGGTTTGTTTCAGGTTGGTTGGGTTTAGAAATCCAGTGTTTGCTGCCCAGAATTTTGACTCTTCGCTCGAGCGAGAAGTTCTTCGCTCGAGCGATCTCTTTGTTTTGGTCCTTCGCTCGAGCCAGGGTAGCTTCGATCGAGCGAGGGTTGCGTTTTGAGTTAGACCTGAGAGCTGAGGTTTTTGGCTCGAGCGAGCTTTTCTTCGCTCGAGCGAGTTAGTTCGTTCTTCGCTCGAGCGATAGTTCCTTAGCTCGAGCGTGTGTCTGATTGCAGACCTGAGGGTTTGAGTTCTTCGCTCGATCGAGTTTTCTTTCGCTCGAGCGAGCTTTTGTGTTGTTGGCTCGAGCAAGGCTTCCTTGGCTCGAGCGTAGATTCTCTGTGTCTGGTCGCTCGAGCGAACAAGTCTTCGCTCGAGCGAGCCTGTCCAGTTTATATACGCAGCAGCGGGATTTTAATCAGTTTTCATCATCTTTTTAGATTCCAAACCCTAAGGTCCGACTTCTCTCTCACCCTACTCACCTTCTCTCTTAGATTTGATCCACTTAGGGTGTGTTTCTACCATAGATCCTTCATTAAAAAGATAGAGTGAGTCGAGGGCTTCCATTTAATCTGAACATTTGGCGATTTGGAGCACTTTGGTATTTGGGCACTCATCTCTGTCTTGTAGAAGTGATTAACAATACTCTCATTCGTATGCAAAGTAAATATTACATGAACATACATAATAAATTGCCCTTGGGCTTACATCACTTAAGGTACAAGAAGAAGGGTGTAACCCTTTTACAACAATGGCATTCCGCCCACATAAGAAAGGCCCCATGGCCAACAGATAAGTAGATCCAAATCTTGCAGCTCAACCTGCTTAATACCTGAAAAAGATTCAACAACGTGGGATGAACATATAGTCCAGTAGGGATCTCAACATGATCCTCAACAATAACAACATTACAGATAGCTATGATCATGAACGCTCATTCTCATACTAGAATAATAATGTGACAGTTTATACAAATGTATATATATATATAAATATGAACTTTTCTCGAAAATCACTATTTAATTCAACGCTATAAGCGATTCATCTTTCCTTTTTCCTTTCATTAACCCCCGTTCCCAATCTTTTATAACATTAACAACTACTTAGGAAAATAGAGTCACTAAGCCCATTACTCTCTCCCATTTGCCCCACATACAAGAGATGTGCCTTTTCAAAACATATTTCTAAAATGTTTGATTTTCTTTACACTTCCAAAAGATAAAAGGGCATTTCAGTTCAATCCCAATTCTATCATAGTTATCCATGCACACTTCTATAAAAAGGGAGATAACAACTCAACTACATGCATAAAATAAATCAATGAGGCAACTCGTCCCTCCACACTGTAACCAATACAATCCACAATGTTTCCAGATACACTAAAACAATAACAAAACAACTCTGCACTACTAGCTATATGCGTAGTAAGCCAAAGATACACTTCTCACAACAATCTACCAGTTTACCAGGCGCTAGCTGGAAGGGTATGGTACCTTAGATTATCAGCGCAGAGTATATATATATGAACACATAGGTGTGTGGAGTCCATCCCCTATCTTCTCACACACACTGGAGTACAACCCCTCTCTTCTCCCCAACCAGTATACAAATATAATGTAATTCAGTATTTCATCACATACGATGTTCAATCAACAATGGTGTAATACATACACAACCATTCAACGCAACCTTATCATCCTCCACCGATGACCAAGACAAATCTCTAGATGCATGCATATTGTACATCTATTAACAGACCCAACTAACATGAGATTACAAAACTCGACAACAACATGAACATGGTAGTTAAAGCTATACCCCACACAAGTGTGTTCAACACTCAAGATACAACATTCCAATTTTCTTATACTTGTTTCAGAATACCTTTCCCATTTCACAAAATGAATTCCACTTCCTTTGTTTTCACAAAATCATTCCCATGGACACAAGCCATAACTCATTTAAATTCACTACATTCTTTTCAAAGCCATTTCGAACTAATTATGCAAATTAAGTCATAAACAATAAATTAGGGTTTTTCCTTCCTCTTTCTCAATATTGACCAAAAAGGCCCAATTAACATCAACAAACAACAATAACCACAATTAAGACTCAAAATACCTAAGTATTTGCCCAAAGATCAAAACCCCTCAATTAATTTATTAAATCAAATAAAAAAATTAGGGTTTCCTCTCCTTTCAACAACCACATGCTAATTATCACTCCAATTAGCCCAAACCACAACCAATGATAACAACGTAACCATTTTAACACCCAACCCTAGGTTTCTTCTCATGATTTCAAACAAATCCAACATGGATATGATTTTTATGCAATACAAAAACTACCACATGTCTATCTATAGACGAAGTATTGAAAAGAAACAAGGAGAATCCCTACCTCAAATGTAGAACTCAAATGGAGAAGATGACCCGAAATCAAAGAGCTCCAAATCCGAAATTTCTTGGATCACAACGAAGCCCTCGACGATCAACACACTTCTTACAAAGGCTCAAGGTGAGGAAAACACTCTAGCTAGATCAATCCTAAGAGAGAAGTTAGGTTTTAGAGTGAGGTGCTCTCCAATGGAGGTTTTGAATAAGTAAGAGAGAGAAAGGAAATCAAAAAGTGGTCAAAAAGGTGATTTCACGGACTGAAATTAAAACAGGTCCGCTCGAGCGTCAGACACAGGTTCACGCTCGAGCGTCCAAAGATCCGCTTGAGCACCGGATGCACTCTCCCAGAATTTTCTGCAGACGACCAAAATGCTGAGAGAAGGAAATTCACGCTCGAGCGTCCAAACTGCCGCTCGAGCGGAAAGGCAGCAACAAAAGCCCGCTCGAGCGTCAAACCGCCGCTCGAGCGGAGAGACCAAAACCTGGGCAAAATTTCAAAGCTTTAAAACACAACCAACTAATTCCCAACTTGCCCAACACAACCCAAAACTCTAAAACAAAGAGTAAGGGATAGAAATGAGAATAAGACAACAACGAATCTACGGAACTGAGTCCAGATTACAGTTAAACAACAACAGGGAATACCGGGATCGCTATAGAAACTCTGATAAATGGAAGAATGTGGAACTTTTATATATCAATGCATGTCTATATTGATGGGTTTAATGTTGTTATTTTGAGGGCGTTACAAAAACGGTACCGTTTAAGGAATAGAAGTCGTTTTTTTAACGCCTTCACATGTGTTACAATGTTATTCCTCCCTCTCTCTTAGCTTTGTGAGAATCAAAACCGTTCTCACTGTCTCTCTCTTCAGGCCCTCATTTGGAATCTGGAAACCTTCAGTTTCAGAGAAACCAATCCCCCAAATCTCTTACTCACTCCATCGCTTTCTCTCTCTCTCTAAACCCTTCAGTCTCAGAGATTAAGATTCAACCTTCTTCAGCTCGGTTTCATCTCAGATCCAATCTCAAAGTGATTTCGATTTCGAAGTTCTCTTTCTCTTGA